TCTTCCTCAATGCTACTGCAAGTATTTCTGCTTTGGCATGGATAATTCTGCTCCCTCTTTTTCCAGAGTGGCAACTGAATTTCTGCAGTTCTGCTTTGGCATTGGAAATGTTATGATTATTCCTGTACAGACCAGTAACATCCTCACTTGAACTACAGGATTTATGGAAGCATAGAAAGCATGCAGCCAAAGACATCTATAAAAGTGTGGGGCTTTTTCTTTCTGGAATTTTCAGAAAAAAGCCTCTGATGTTGAAGAGGTTTAAAATCCTTTTTTTGTTAGGAATATAAGTCTATAGAAATGTTGATATTGTTATGTGCTACTAATGTAAAACTCCTAGCATAGTAAAATGTAAAAAATGTCTTTTTGTATAAAATGAGTACACAATAATGTTCTTCTGACTCATGCTTAATTTTTGCAATGCTCTTGAAACAGTTAATGAATTATTCCACCTCAAAATATTTTCACATATTCCTATCCCTAAACATAGATTTAAGTGTTCCATAATATATCTGTGGTTCATTAATAAAAATAAATCCCTTTACTAGAAATGAATATGTCCTTAAGAAGCTTCATAGGGAAACATATTTTATAATTTTTAATATATTTTTTCCTAATATTTATCATGTATTTTATGCGACCATCTTCTATTTTGTCAGCTTGGAGCAGGATAGCAAGTCCTCTGACATTCAGGAACTGCTATTGTACCAACAGCCTGAGCACCTTTGCATTTATTATCTTTTTGCAGTGGAATAATAATAATGGAAGAAGGGAAAAGATGGGAAAAGAGCAGGTCCATGTCATTGCTTTCTCAAATTCAAGTATATGCTGCCCTCTTGTGGAACTTCTACGGTAGTTACAACCACTATACAAAGGTGTCCTTGCCTTTCTGACTGTTTCATTTTGTTCCATTGAATATTGCTAAGACAGATTTAGTGCATATGATGTAGCAGCTTTTTTTCAAATTATGCTATATAAATACAAATTTGCCTACTAATATACTGTTGTTTGGTATTTTTCATTCATGGTCAGCCTCCATTGTTGACATAGCTGTGCTTGCTGCTTTTGGAATTAAATTTGTGCTGTTTTGTAAAAAACCATACATTTGCTAATACTGGAAAATTGCCTCTTCTACTCTTTAGGTGACACTGAAATACACCTGTAGTTTTTTCTGGTTCAACTCTTTCAATTAGCCTCAGTAAGAAAGTGGTTTAAAGAAGGGAACAAAAACTTGGGTATCTGTCTGCATGATGTTTGTGTCTGTGGGGTGTGTCGTCCAAATTATGGACTCTAAAATCTACTATTATGTGTTATGAAACTGAGTGCGAGTGAAATTTTTAGAATAATTTTTCAAAGTGTGTCACTGTCCAGCCAAAGAAAGGAGGTGATACAGTCACAGAGCCATCCTCTCTGAGGCCCTGGGAGGCAAAGAGCTCCACAAGTAGGAAGACTTTGATGCCTGGTGTCCTGAGGATGCCTTCAGGGTGAGATTTTCTGCTTTCCAAGGAATATATGTGAATACGTATGTTTGGGTTTACATGGCAGTTGCTCTGTCATAAAGAGCATCTCTCTACCTTGACATCCATTTTCATTACAAGACAGAAGCATTTGAGGCTGTTGCCCTTCTGTCAGATGTGATCAAAAATGTTATTTATTATTGAGTGATAGGGTGGTAGAACAATTTATTACCTATTTATCTGGAAAACATAAGTTAATAGTAATAACAATAAGCCTCATTTGCGCCTGAACATGCCCTACATTCTTACATGTTATGCAGCATATTTTATCCAGTAGAATCCTAAAGAAATACACAGACTAAGTGTCCCCCTTCTGGCTCACCCTTAGAATTTCTACTGCAAACCCAATACTTTGCTTCTGGAAAGTCTGGTTGAGTTTGCTGATATAACACACACCCAGCAAAATGCTCTACTACAAAGAAACACTTCATTCCCTGATATAAATACTTGCTGCCACCTCTGCTGAGAGAAAAAAAATTCTCCTTAGTGCAAGTACTTATTCCTGTAAGCAACAAGGATCTTTGAAGATATGTTAGGGTACCACCATCATTAAAATCACACAGGCAATTTCAAGAACACTGAAGTAAGCCCTGTTCAGAAAGTTGAGGTAGGGTTTAGACTTTCAGTCCGCTTTAACCCTTGGAGGAGCACCACCTATGTTCAAAGGGGGGTAAGAAAGGTCCTGGAGGTATCTTTAGTGCAAACTGGGCTTCCATGAGGCAATGGCTAACGCACTACAAACACAGCCTCTGGCTCCCTGCACACCAGCTTCTCTGTGCAGCCAAGCCTTGTATTCTCTTGCTTGCAGACAGGATATTCTCCGGTGAAAAGAGGGAGTCCAAAGAATCAAGTCATAATCAGTGTGCTTTTGTGACTCCTGTGAAAAAGAATGAGAGTTACAAAGGAAAAGCAAGTACAATATTGAGTGTACAATATTTCAGAAGAGATTGGGAGAGGGTGTTTTTACGATATTCTATTATGTCTCCTCTTTAGAGAGAGGCTAAGCCAGTGCCAAAGGAATAGTTTTCCAATGTGCTATTTGTTCACAGGATGGATAGGGGCTGACAAGCTGACCATCAGAACGGTTTCTTTGTCCTTGGAGCTCCAGGTGGTTTAACAGTGCTGACAAGCTACGTGTTTTTACCAAAATGACTGTTCATTCCTTTTTAGATGACTTTTCAGCCCTTTCCATCTTATTTTTCAAGGACTTTTAAGGAAAAAAAATAAAGCAGGGTATAATAGGAGGGTGGTGGGGAGGTAAGGGTAAGGTAATACAGGGTGTACACATGATGGGGAAAGGGTCTCTCTTGCCTTGTTCAGAAACAGATTCACTCAGAGAAAACTCAGAGGTAGAAGTATCAGTATTTGTGCCACATAAATAAGAATCATGGCATAATCATGGCTATAGTCAGATTTACTATCAGCAAGATTGCCATGACTGTATTATGTTCCATGCATTTTCTGAAAGTATATTTAAGGATATAAAGTGCAGTATTAAAATTATTCTCAAGAGCCTTAGAAGAATTTTTTAATATAATATTTTTTTATTGATTTTAATAAAATATTTGAAAGTTCAGCCCTTTAGGACAGGTAAAGATAATATGATAATTATCTAATGTAGACAGCATATAATGTTGTTGGCATTCATGATTATAATCTGGTTTAGTCCATGTAGATTATAACAGAATAGAAGAACAGATTGATTTATTGCTAATAAAGAATAAGGAGTTATTCTTGCTTACTATTTTAAGTTCTGATTTTGACCAGCTTGTAGAGATAAACATAAATTTGGGGCTGAACAGAGAGGACTAATGACTTCCTTCAGGCTGTTCCTAATGCAGCTGGCTCCTCACTGCCAGGGTCTGCAGCTGAGTCACAGTCAGCATGTTGACCACCAAGAGCGACTTCCAGGCCTGCAAGCTATCTTAGCACCTCTGTAATCTCTCTGCAATATTTGTAAGGATATATTTATTTTTTATTATGTATCTTTTTCTAATTATAGATAAATTCTTTACACCTTTTGAAATAATCAGTCAAAGTACTTAACTAGCTTAGCAAGTGGAGACACTTAATTTTGCCCAGAAAAGGATAGAAATAGGGAAAAGTGACTGCATATATTCTCTGTTACCCACCTGTGGGTGGAAAAGATGCTGACTTCTATATGCAGTAGTTACTTTGTTAGGTTTTCAGGCAAGAACTGGGGAAGAGAATTGCCTCATGTTGCACAAATTGGGCTAGAGACCTCTAATCCATTGACTTTCAGAACCATGTTGACTTGGTTGAGGTCTGAGGACCATTGGGATAAATGGCACTGGCATCCTGACTTTCTGATAAAACTACATTGGCAATTCATCCAAAGAGGGCCAAATATCCACACCCAGTGCATAATGGGGTAATTATATTTTATTTTCATAATTTCTAGCACCCAAAAGATGGATGTGATATTTGATGGAAACTTTCGTTTTGAAAGGTTTCACCATTACATTTTTAGCAAATGGTTGTGTCTAATCTTCTTTCCTGCACAGCTTGTCCTCTTTGCTGAGCTTCTTCAGGGAATAAGAGAGAAAGTTTCTGCAAGAATGCTGCTCCCTTCATAGGAATGGTCTCTTTGCCTTTAAAAGTCTGTTTCCCTAAAATGCTTAAAAAACTCAATTAACTTCTGGTCCTCACTCCTTTCTTCCATTTATTTACAGAAACTGCTCATTGGTGCATATGATTGCACTTGCTCTTCATCAGCGGCGTAAACTTTGCATCATCTCATCAGAAAATTGCATTGTATTGTTTCCTTCTATCTTATCACTTTACTTTCATCTTATTTGAAAAGCTTATTCACAGCATTGAAGCCTTTCCTCAAAGTTGTTGAGTGTTTGCTAAACTTTTACCATGTGTCACAATTCAGCTGCAGATGGTGGCACTGAGAGAGAGAACTGCACACAGGGCTGCATGAGTAACAGCTTGAAGGAGGTCATTAGTCCCCTCTGCTTGGCCCTGAATTTATATCTACATCTGATATCAGAAGGGAGATCTACATCCTGTGGATTTACATGTCCGTGTTTCTAGGGGTGCTAAATCAGCAAAAAGGAGCACAAAGGGCCATGGCACTGGCAACAGTGACAGCTAGAGCTAGGAAAAACATTGGCAGAGCAGAGATTTGCCAGCTGTACTGTAGTGGATAGTGCAATGCTGTATTCAAAGAGATGCTGATGAGAGCCGGAATAGGAAATGTTGGTGTCTGATGGGACCCTCCCAGTGCAGTAATCCGTGTCTCTAAATCTCCACATTGCCTTGATTTTATTTCTGCATCTGCTACAAAGACAGCACCGTGGTAGAATTCACAGGCCGTGCATCTCCAAAATGTAACCTCACCCGGATTTTGGGCAGAAAAGCCGACCCGCCGCCCGTGCTGCGAGGTGGCACCGAGCGAGCGGAGGGCGGTGCCCGCGGACAGAGCGGCGCGGCCGCAGCGCCCCCTGGTGGCCCCGGACCGAACTGCGCCGGGCCGGGGCCGCCGGGACCCCCGGCCCGGGACCGTCAGCCCCGTGCGGAGGCAGCGACCGCCAGCGCTGCCGGTGCTTTGCTGTGAGGCACCGACACACACGACAAGAAACTGACAGTATTTTAAAACTTACAGGATTTGCCGAGTGTCGCGTTCTGTTTGATTTTGGCAGCTATCTCACGGTGAAGTAACTCGCTGATACCGCTTCCTCTCTGCACCTTGCCTTCCGCAGTTACCACTGTAGGATTGTCATCTTACCGTAGCAGAGAGATTTCCTGTGTCAGTAAGGGGAGAGTTCCCTGGAGTTCCAGACAAAGGCACTATCATGCTCTTGACAGCCCCACAGCTTGCCATTGATGCTGAAGCGCAGAGTTGTAAGAACTCTGGTATTCCGGTGAGCTGGGGAGTGTAGGTCAGACTAGAGGTGTCTTATGCCAGGGAAACAATTAATACGTCATTTTATCCCGTGCAAAATATTTATCACCTAGAGCTGATAATCGATATAGCAATAGGATTTTTCAGATGCAGCCAAGGTGTTTTTATAACAAAAGACTCAATTTTTTCAGGTAATGAAGTCCTCCAATAACCAAATATGAAATATTAACATTACCCCTGTGTTTATTTCCGTTTTAATTTTCTCCCTTTTTACATTCTCAAAACATGCAAGCTCACACTGGCAGGAGTGTCATGAGCTTTGTTTCTGCATTGTATTACCTACTGCCAAATACTCTTCTCTCCTCCTATTTAAGTCCAGTGCATATTTCAGAGTCAGTGCTGCTAGGCATAACCAGCTTGTCAAAGTTTATTTTAGAAGCTATTTACTGTAATTTGTGAGAGAGATTGGCAACTCTTCGGTTGCTCCACAGCTGCTTTGCAGTCAATCAAAAGTAGAGAAGTAATTTAATTCCAGTGTCCTCTCCAGAGAAAATCTTTGAAAGGACAATAATGAAGTAGGAACATGATGGACACAGAAAAAAGCAGAGCACAGGAGAGATGCCTCAGTTGTGTAGTTCCCATCCAAAAAGTGTGCCTTGCTCATTATTCATGTGTTCAGTGCAGGAGCTCTCATACCCATCTGTTACTGAGGAATGAGCTGGAAATAGCTGTCGTGCTGTTGCAGGAACAGTGTCATGAAGAAAGAGTAACAAAACCTCTCGTAATAGTGTTAATAATTGTAGACTCCAAATGTAAAGATAGGGCAGGACTTGGTTTTGTAAGCAAGGTATCAAAGTTGTTTTCCTGTATGTGTTTCTCTGTTGCAGGCCCACCATTAACATTTCTAGATTTAACCTCTGGTAAAGGCCAGGTTTAACATGCCAAGACTGAGAAAATTCACCTTCCCAGGACACTGACCATCTCACATCTCACCACATGTTCCAAGGGAGGTATCTCCTTTTTCTTCACTTTAACTTGGTACCTGTGAGGCTTTTGAATGTGTCCACCTTAGTTGTCATGAGGTTTCACTCTGAGTTGTTCTGTGTTTAGCACTGAGAATAAAAAGAGATGTCACTTTTCTTGGTAGTGATTGCATTTTAATTTCTGAGAGAGATATTATTTTGTAAGAATAGAGAAAGATGACTGTAAACACAGGCAGAGCTCTTCACTGATAATATCAAACTTAAACATTAATAATGATCTTTCTCTCACTTCAACAAATAACTAGGTGCTTATTCAAAAGGTGGAGCTACTTTTTTCAACCCCTTCAAAAATGCAAGGCAGAGTACTGGACACCTGACTACCTCCTAGAGACTCCTTCGTGTTGTATGCTTTCTGTTTTTCTGCAAGAGTGAAAATGTGGCTGTTACAGTTAAGTCTTCAAATGGGGAAGTCTTTGAAAATGTCTTGTTATCCTCATACGCAAGTTCAGTCTTACATACTCAAAAATTGTCTGATGTCTTGGGTTCAGAAGTGTGTCTTGGCTCAGTGGTACCTTGCTCAAATATCTGATACCCCGTGTGCAGTTTCTTGTATATCCATTTATCATTTATTAATGGTATCATTAGTATGGTTTCCAGAGCTATTGCCCTAGCAATGGATGTTGGACATACACAGACTAATACAGCCTACATATGTATAAAGGTTTTTGATACAACACTTTGTTCTTCCTCCCTGGTGTTGTGCCAAGACATTGTAACACACTAGTAGTTCAAACAGGTTGGTTTTAAACTATCAGTAAATTCTCCAGAAGTCCAAAGTTTGTAATAATTAGCACTTAGAAAATTTTGTGAAGATTTTCATCAACATTATTCATGTTTTGACATGCAAAGACTAATGTTTATACAAAAAGTCTGCTAAAGGTTCATTGCTTTCATTTGCACCTCTGTTTGATTAATCTTTTTTCTTGGTCCATCACTTTTTTTTTCCCCATCAGTTAGGGTTTTTTGTTGTTAATCTAACATCTTTGAAGTCTCTCTTTGATTCAAGGAAATGAAAGTTGGATGGTAATGTTTGAAAAGGTGCTATTCCTGTTAAATAATGAAGTCATTCTGGCTCAGTTTGTTCACTGATAGGTTTCCATTTGGCTAATTGGTATGATGACATGTAAAAGTGTTTAGAAGACATCACAAAAGTGACAGAAAAAACATGTCCCCAATTTGTTTTAGTGTTCTGCTAAACTTTTCTGAAGTTTTTTCCTTTCTTCTTTCTGGAGCTGTAAACACCAGAAGGAGACTTTATTAAATTGCTTTTACCTCAGACTATGGACTACTTTCCATTAAAGTAATGGGAAAGGGGAAAATGTTTGAAACTGTTGCATCTTTGTTTTTTTTCTAAGGCAAGAACATTGAGAGTCCACACAATGGCATTTTAATAACTGGTCTTATTACCTTCACAGCAGTAGAAAAAATGGGGGCACCTGAGTTTACCAAACTGGTTAAAAGGAAACCAAACAATTCCATACAATATATCCTTCAAAAACCACATAGGAGTATAAATATGTCATTTTCAAAATGTCAAACAGTTCTATAGAACATATATACGAAGTCTAAGAAGATATTCACAGACTCTATTTTGCAGAATCTCAAGTGCCACAGCAACACCTGATAGCATAGCTGCATTTCCCTGAGTAATTAAGTCAATAACAGCATCCTTTGGAGCCCTTGTGAATCATATCTGTGCTAATGATGACCCATAACTAGTCTGTCTTCAGAACTGAGAACAAGCAGCATGGCACATCTTGCATCAGTAGAGCTGCATTTCTCCTTTGCCTTTCCTTTAACCATCACCAAAACACACCTCTGTGCCCAGAGAGGCTCTGTGTGTACTGCCTTGTGATGGCTGTGCTGTGCCTCCACATACACATTGCCTGGGAGATTCCCGACTGCCACAGGGTGAGCCATCCTTGATATTCAGCCCATGGCCACTTCACTTAAGAGGCAGTGTGTGAATGTGTGTTGTACACAGCTAGAGTAACTCCTACATAAAAGAGAAAAGGAGAACAAACATATTCTCAGTGTATGTTACTGTATGTATATTCCAAGGAGGTCATGTTTCACTTCTTTTTAAAATTTTAAGTCTTTTAAGAATTATAATCAATCGTGTTTTGAATTCAGACATATCAATTCCTCTATGACCTTGATTTTTTCTTCTATTTCTCCCCTGGTAGTTGAAATAAATACTTCTTTTATTGCCTTCTAAATTAAAGAGTTGTCAAGATACCATGATATTTTCTGTGGATTCTGCATTGTAATCACAACTGATGAATCTGAAATTCTGTGGTATTGCCTCTGGTAAGAGGTGGTTGTGCTTTTCCACATCAGCTTGCCCATGAGTGCTCTCATCTCTTCCTGTTTTTTATTGTTTCTTGAACAATTGTTGATGTTGGACAAGAAAAACATGCAAACTTGAGACCTCTCTGTGCCTGGCTGTCTGTTCGTGCTGCTGCTGCATGGTCTCATAATGCTGTTGCAGCTCTCTGTTCTTCACACTACAGTACTCACTGGAACTGCAGTTTGTAGTGCAAGAAGTAAGAGCAAAGCAGATACTGTGAACAAGTTGATTTTGTTTTGCTTCATTTCACATATTACCTATCAATTGATCTGAATCATTTAAGGTCCTCCCAACCTGGCATTGCTTTGGTAATTTCTGTTGTTTTATCAGTTAACCAAAAATGTCCTTTTGAAACATTTATTTATGAAACAGAAGAAATCTACAATAATTAGGGAGTTTGGTGCTAGAAAGTTTTGTAAAGTTTATATGTTTATCTGAGTGTCTTGTCTGCTAGTTTGGTGAGTCAGGCTGAACAGTGAGTTCTTTTCATCCTCAATTCAGTGAAGCTGGCATCCTTTTCATCCTTTGAATCATTACATTACATACCTCCAGAATAGCTGTATTGCTATTCTGGCCCTCTGCTGTGCAAATAAGCAAAGCAGCTTTCCCCTAATTTTTTACCCTTTTCCAATCAATATGCTCGCTTATAAATTGTTACACTGTTGTGGCTGTGGTTTACTTTTCATAGGCTTATGCTTCATATCACTGTATACATATACAGAACTTGGTGCTCAAGTGTTGTGCCTTGGCCCTGTTCTCACTAGACCACAGGGAAATTGTGGAGAATCTAAACAGAGTGGATTTTACCTAAAGGTACTTTGCCTGGCAGTCCAATGCATGAGAATCTTGTGTGTTAAAGAGGGTTTTGGGAAGCCGTAGAGGCCCTGGTTATAGGTGGTACAGGGGTGAAACCAAACCCGGTAATTGAACTATTCATCTTGCAGCACTGTTGTGATTTTCTGTGCAGAAGAAACAGAAACATGACTCTGAGTGTTTGCTACTGAGAGATCATGAAATAGATATTTGTTTTGCCAGAGAATTCATCCAGGTGTAGCTGCATCACCAAAGTCTACAGAAAATTTGCATCACCCTCATAGATGAAGATAAGGGCCTGCAACTGAAAAATTAACATGTTGGCTGAATTTGTTAGCATACTTATTTGTTAGTATCAGCTTCCACATCCCAGAATTCTCACATATGTTTGCTATAAAACCAGTGTACAGTGTGTGAAATAGCCTGCTCTAATTACAATCTAGACAATGCCAGGAAAGTAAAGCTAATTCAAATAATCTCTATTAAGTCATCCAAAACATGGCATTACATGCCATGAAATCAAATTACTTGGATGCAGACTGGTGACAAGGGAAATTTATGTGGCAAAATCATGCCTTATTTCCCCCTTCTTTCAGCCAACAAATTAGAAGCTCATTTGAAAAGTAAGCTTAATTTGATATACTGATGTGGTGATGACAACTTGGACAGCATTTAGCTCTCAGGAAGCAAACCTTTTAAAAGCAAAGCCCAAAATCTTCAGTGATGGCATGTAGTATTTTCGCAGTCTTATAGATTTTGGTCCCTAAGAATCTGAAGGTGGTAAGTTAATATATCTGGGCTGTGCTTTCACTGTATTTTAGGTCCATTTTACACGCAGTGAAAAAATGTGATTCTATTAGACAAGCATACAAAAGAAGTTGACATCTTTGGTCAATTGTGAATCTGGCAATCGGTTATATGTGTGATATACTCACTTGTCTGTGAACTAATTAGTAAGTTTTATATGATAATTTTTAATATTGGGATCCCAGCCTGGCCTACTAGGTGTGAGAAATAATGATATTGTCCATGGTCATGCCCGCAGGCATTAGAACCTATAAAATAAAACACTTTTCCATTATTTGTTAATCCCATCGAGATTTCTATGAATCCTAACCCAATACCTGACTCAGTGTCCAAAGAAAACAGAGTAAAGCATGGAAGCAAAAGTGTATATATTTTACAATACTATCAGTTATATAACCATGTGATATTTTTTTCTCACAGGGTGCAATCTTCATTCACTTCAGATAGTCAACTCTTACACTTCATTTCTCTGCACCTTCTTCTCAAGTTTCATCCCTATCTTCCTCCCAAATTCATCTTTCTTCATCTCTATAAATCCCTTAATCCTCTTAGTGTGCCATACCAGGAGTATGTATCTTGTGGGAGTTCAGTTTCCAGTATTTGAAGATGTTTCTATGGGACAAGGGGGAAATTATGGGTTTTAAAAGATTTGTAATTTTTCCTCATTTAAATGCTTTGAAAGAAAGGCTAGTTTTGACTTTACAGTCAGCTCCTCCTTGCAGTTCCTCTGTTTTGGGTTCTCCCCCAAACTGGAGAAAAAGTAAGGTTTCTAACCAAAGGATTGTCAGGCATTTTTTTAATAAGAAAGTCATCATATGGTACCCAATTTTAGCTGAAGCTTTAAAACAGTATTTAATTGCATAAAGATCAATGAAGGTATAAGTAATTGAAACAAGTTGTGATAATGGTCAATATTGCAGAATTGTCACCCTAGACCACCTGGCCTATCCGCAGCACAGTACTCCCTATTGGAATGGACCTGGCTGCTCTCCCTGGCCATCAGGATTGTTTGGATCAGCAAATGTTCCACTATTGTAGGCAGTTTATTTTGAATGTTTTCCCAGATGGGACTTCTACTATTTTCCTGGAGAGAGTATGCCTTAGTCTTAGGAATCATAAATATTGGACCTGAAGTTTGCCCAGGTAATTCTTCAAGGCCATATATCCAGACAATATATTAAAGTCCTTTTTTGTCTACATGCACTTGAGTTACATGTTCTTCTTGCGTTATTCTCAAGGTACACTGACTATCTGAATGTGCTGGAATTTTATGCTGTTCTTACTTCACCCTGTTATGACATTCACATTCTTTCAAGTCCTCCTTTAAAAAGAATTTTGTTCATCTGTCTTCAGCTCAAGACTCTTTCCACCATGCTATGGGTGGGCAGGCATGTTTCAGGCACTTACGTGTGCATGTGACCCTTGATGCTCGAGGAGGAATCACACTCTGGGTAAAATGACTGACAGGCTCTCCTGCTTCTTGTCTTTTATGAATTTATGGCAATGGTACCTGCTGTAGACCATACCCCAGATCTGCTTCTTACCTGACTACTCTGGAGCCATTAGAAGGATGGTAGATGCTAAGAGATGCTATAAGTTCAAAAGCAAATTGGTCCCAAAGTAAAAGCCACCTAAGTCTTCTATATACTGTAGCTGGTGGACAACTACTGGCCTAAAGGAGTCCTGAAACAAACAATGCTTGGCTTGATATTGTAAATACAAGAAAAAGCTCCGTGCTACAAAAACTTTTAATTTTTTATTATTCTTTAAAGATTAATTTCAAATTTTCCACTCAATATCTTTTGCTAATAAGTTGTTTTGCGAGATGTATAACTGCTAAATAATTCTTTACTTATTCTGTCCCTTTCACCAGTTCTTTGCTGAGCTGTAGTTAAAGGCACTATGATTCTATTTACTATCACAAATGTAAGTTATTTTGAAATAATTCTACCCTGCTCTTGAGGGAGAAAAGCCTCACAGCACGTTTTTTCATGTCTTTGATCACATCAGATTTTGATGTGGCTCATTGCTTTTATGACATATTTTCCCTTGCTCTTCTTTGTCCCTCACTGCTATCTTGCAGGTTTTTTGCAGTCAATCCTAGCTACTCTTTTGTTCACTTCAGGCAGTTTTTTGTTCCAGTTGTTCATAATTTTAATATTTTCAGTAACTAGCCCATAGGTTTCTTTACCATCTCCGCTCAGTCAGTATTTTTTTTTTTAGCATTAGCAAGTTCTGTGTCCATATTGAACAGCTTTCTAGCTCATTGGTATATTAGGTGGACAACATTAGTTTAGCTGGTTACACTTGTGACACAAAATCACAATTCAGACAAAAAGCCTTGCTTATGGTAATAAATACTTATGTATTTCCTACAAAAATTGTCATTGTTGATTTTTTTCTGTCATCACATTTTTTTGCATGTAGTGCAGTTTTAGTAAATTTAGGATTTTGATTCAGTTCTAAATTAAAAGATCCTGCTAAACTAGCTTGAATTTCTCCATTAAAAATAGCAAAATGTGTCCTTAAGGTAAAGACAATATTTTCCTACGTTTTTAAACATTTCTCTAATTATTTGAAGCCAGACTGTCTAGCTTTTTAAAATTTGATGTACCAAGAGAAGCTTAGTGTATCTATATTTATACAACTCAAAAATTCTATCTATCCTTTTTTCTCATCCATCTGCCCCAGAATTCTCTATGCTACTGCAGAGTTGTTACACTTAAAATCTTGCTTATGGGCATAAGCAGTAAGCACACCTTTTATGTACGTAGAGATAAAAAATTATTAGTATTACTAAAAGTGAAGCACTCTGACCATTATTAGTCCAGATCTCATTGTTTAAAAAAGAACAATAATGCAGGTAAAATGTTTATATAAATACCTGCTTACCCCTTCCTCCCAGTGTTAGGCTGATGTCTCCACTGCTCCTCTGGGTGCTGAGCTTGGGGTTTCACACTGGTGGCAGTGGTGAAGTGTCAGTGAATTGTCAGCCTCTGGAGTCTTTCAGTGTGAGGAATGTGATATTTGTGGTGATCCTTACTCTAGGATCAATTTGGGTAATTTATATGTGTCTGCCAACACCCTTTTGCACTTTTGCTTTGTCTTCATTGTTCTGTTGTTTCATATTACACCCAATTTACTATACATGGTGTTTTTTATTTATATTAGATACTATTTCTTTGTTATCTCTAAAACCAGTTCTGTCAAGCTCCAGGTCCACAATCATCATGTTAATCATAAGCATGACTCTGCAAAGCTTATTACTGCTACCTGTGTAAAACTATGATTCTACTATACAAAGACAAACAAAACAAATTAAATGTAGACACCTGGTGTCCTTCCTGCTATTCCAACTTGATTTCCTGTGGTGATGCTCTTAGCAACCAGTTCAGCTGGGTTAAAAGGCTTCCAGAAGATAAGGGAATGAAATATGGACATAGATGTATAGTATCTGACAGTCAAATATGTACAATACTGACACAAACTAAAATAGGGAAAGATTCTCCTCCCCACTCCCTCCCCCTAAAAGAATAAAAATAATTAAAAAAAAAAAAAGGCTGTGGAAATACGAAGACATGCACAGACAATGGATTGTGCAAGCCCTCCACAGAGAAACTGGGAGCACAATGAATTTCCTTGTCCTTAGGGGTTGTATGCTAAATGGAAGATCTGGAAGGTTTTTTGAAAAGCAATTTGCACACAGTGATCTGGAGAATTCTTTAAAATAATATTTTTTCCCTCTTTAAAAGAAATTTAATGTTTTTTACTTTTATTTAATTGTCCTGTGATTCTACTGCAAAAAACCCAACAATCCTCCTAATCCTGTTGCGTTTGTGATTTCTTCTTGTATACATAGTTCAATACAATTATGTAGAGATTGTTCAGGATGTTTTGCATGCTAATTGACAACTGCTGAAGTACAACTTAAAAGCTTTAAACAATTTAAATCAAGTAATAATAAATGTTATTATCACATATATTATTTTCTTATAATCTTCATAGTGTAATTATAAGTATACAAAGCCTTAAATAATAGCAGAAAACTTTATGGCTTATAAGAACTTGTTAAACATAAAGACAATTTTTAATATGTCATGGTAAGGCATTTTGATGAGACCCATGAGGTATTCTGGAGAAACATACTGTATTGCCATTTCATTGATCTAAGGTGGCAGATGGAAGTCTTGTCATCTGCAGTACCACCTCATTTCAAAGAGAATATATTAACAGAGATGGAGTATGGCAATTTTTAATGTAAATAATGCTTTCCCTTTCTGAAAGAGCCCATTTACAGTTTTGAGGCCATTAGACTTCTGCCCTGGCTTCTTCAGCACTGCAATTCTGCAATAGGATTTGAGAGTCAGTTTGAGACTGATGATTAACTTCTTGCTTGTGTTGCAAAGCTTCCTTTTATATTTCTGTAAAACTCAACAAATGACTGCCACTAATGTTGTGCTCATCAACTAGTAAGTGGAGGCCATTTAAGGCAGAAATGTAGGATTTAGCTCCAGCTGCTGTTCTAATGTTGCAGAAAGCTTTTGCTGCAGTTCATTAAATTCAACTTCAGGCAGTCACAAAACTGCCAGCTAATTATTTTTTTCTTTCCTCGGCTAAGTGAAACCTGGTGTCACCAATTTCCACTCACAAAATGGAGCTACAGAATCCTGCATTCTGAAGACTGAAGAAACAAAGCAGTGAGGAAGCAACCAACATAATTCTTACAAAAAGAGGTAAGACTGAACCAGTGAAACTTTATTTCCTACCAATTTGTCAGACTACCTTGGCAGTTAGACTCTGTATGGGACATTGCTTCTTTGCTAGTAGGTCACAGGGCCTTTATTAATAACTGTTTATGTTTTGGGGACTAATAATCAGATTGGAGATGTAGGTTACGTGGGTTCAGCTTTCTGATTGAAAACGAGCAGATCTGCAGCTGACAGGTAATTTTCTGCAGTACTGAGTACATGGGATGTTTCAGTCTCTATTATGTTGGTACAAATCAAATTAAATGATGAGAATTTTTTTCATTTTGTGCAATATCGAAACTAAAAGTGAGATCCAAAGTTGAAAGATACCTGTATGGAGATGCCCCTCCTGACCTTAAGTACAGAATATCTACCTGAACACAGCTCTGTGTTAACACAGGTTTGATAAACTGTTTTAACATATCTCAAGATCATCTGTACTACCCCTGATTTTAAGTTGTTGATATAGCTTAAAGTAACTGAAACCAGAACATTCATGTGTGTTTAGAATAAAGTAACTAAAGCCAGACATCCATGTGTGTTTAGAATAACACAGAAACAGAAAACGTGAATAACCTCCTGCCATGGAGCTGCTCATGGGAATAGGGGTTTTGGTTTACTCCCATGGTGATTTACTCTTTAGGGACTTGACAAACAGAGAACATTTCCAAGCTAGTCCACCAAGCTTTCATCCCAGAATTCTTGGAAAAATAATAGATAGTGAGAATTTGAGCTTCTGTTAATCATTGTTTATTGTCATATCATAGTCAGGATTTTAAAAAGGGACTTCTCCTTTCTGCTATAATTGTACACACAGAACAGAGACCCCTTACTATGCTTTTACAATTAAAATTAACAAATATACAAAATGAGCATAACAACGGAACAGTATAGAAAAGTGTGAAGTAACAGCAATAGAATGGTATAGTTAATATATGTAGAATCAGGTATCTTCAAGGTTTCTAAATACATAGCTGCAGCTTTGGTTGCAAGAAGAGAGGAAAAATGATTTCAGCCTCAAAATTCCCATTTTAAATATGCATATTTTTGCTTTTGACAGCATGTCTTCAAATACTTGTAACCTGTCAACTGGTAACTATTGTTGTCTAACTGTATCTTAAGAGTGAGAAGACACATCAAAAGAAAATTAAAGCTATGATAGCAATCAGTGCAAATCAGAAAAGTTCCACGTAAAGATGAAATCCAGCATTTCTGTCAAGCACCAAGACACAATGGGGACACAGGAAGAAAGACATTAAGGGAGTTGGGTTTAGAGTATGAAAACAAGACACAATATGTCACTGTTGTCTTTCTATGACAGTTTTCATATTTTTTATATGACGCAGGTTGTTTAAATAAGTTTGAGTTTAGTCTGAGAGAGGTTTTTGAAGGACTTCATTATGCAGCACATTAAAAATAACCTGTCAGTACTGGACAGCCAACAAACTGAACATCCATTCACAGAACTGTTAACTAAATTCTGGTCATGGGCTCAAGTAATATTTCCATATATGCATCTCAATGAGCAGCAGTGGGTAGAATTAAAAGGATGAGAATTAAGTCACAATTTGATATGTATAGGTAAGAAAGAGAGTTTGTTTTTATAATTGTTAAGGAAAGGAAACAATTAGACTTGCTTTCAAATGCAATGCTGTAATTGTGAGGAAATTTTTTTTTTGTAAGCTAAACAAAACTGACACTCTGAAAGGTATTTTTCAGAATAAACAAAACCTCATTAATTTTTTAATTTCAGTTTCAGAATATAATTCTCACAAACATAAGGACTAGGTTCTGAATACAACCGACAAAAAATTAAAACATATATGGGAGCCACTAAACCCTCATCTATACATGGACAAGTACCAAATCTTACTTTCTCTAGAAAGACGGGATTTGCTAATACATAAATGCATAGTGATAATTTAATGGGTTCAACCTTGAACTCTTTGAAATGTGATTTCTTTGAATATGGAAAACAACAACAGGTATGATCGTGGATTATGATCCTGTGGCTAAGTTTTACCTTCACCATAGTGACAAATCGAAGGACTTTTTCCCTTACCCAAAGGGGGTCCAAACCAGTCATGGGCCTCCCAGCAGAGCCTTATGAGAGTTGGGAGAATTACTGACCTCCTTCAAGCTCTCTCCAGTGCAGCTCTGTGTGCAGCTGCCTCCCTCACTGCCAGAGTCTGCAGCTGAGCCATGCTCAGTGTGTTGCCCACTCACCACCTTTTCAGCAGGGCTGTTACCTGACCAAAGTAGGACAAGTAGGATTAGGCATTGAACAGCATCAGCTTGTCAAGGCTGGTCAGAATATCAATACCAGAAGTGGCTTATGCATCAGGCTGGAAGGGTCAGCTTCCACCACCACCACCTGTGTGTACACAGAGGTTGGTGTTAACAACCTGACAGAGTTCAAGAAGCATTTGGACAATATTCTTAGGCACATGGTGTGACTCTTGGGGTTGTCCTGTGCAGGGCTAAGTAGGACTCGATGATCCTTGTGGGTCCCTTCCAACTTAGCATATTCTGTGATTCTATGAACCTGCCACCCTGATGCCGACGTATTCTCATCAGGCTCAGTCCTGTCCCAGAGCAAAGATGCCACTGGCAAACAGAAAGAGCAATAGCATCCACCCAGTGGCACTGAAGGGGTGCCTCACAGTAAGCCTTCCAACTTTTCCATTAAGCAGGACTTAGAAAATGCCCATTTACAAAAGGATGTAGAGATGCTTCACCAGGATGTCCGCACAGGACCAACCTCTCCACAGACAGGGACAGTGCCTGAATGAAGGTAAGAAAAATTAGACACCTGCACCCTCCGCTGAAAAATAAATGAACAGGCAAGCGAAGACTAAGATACACACACACACACACACACACACATATACACATTCATGATCCCCACCCCCCTCCAAAGTGTTAATCTGCCTGGTCATTAGCTGCTTTTGGAAAGACAGTAAGCTTTACTGTGTCTAAGAAAACAATAAGAAGATTCAGAGATCATCTGTTCTGTAGTCAAACTGTGCATTGGGATACCAAGCAGATCCTGAATGGCTGCTTAAGCTCACTGCTGTTTCAGCAGGATAATTTTTTAGACCTAATACTGTCAGTCTTCACATTACTAGAAGGTTAAAATATTTACAAGGATTATGTAAGACCCTTGATTTACCTCTCAATTTATGTCCTTTCATTATACTTGTACTGGAAAATCATATTCTCCTGTAATTTCTTTTTTTTTTTTAATAAAGACTACCTTTCCCAATCTGTAAGCCATTACTCTTGAAGTCTCACAACCAATTGTCAAAATCCTACGTTTTCTTTACTGAATGTGAAGATCATATAATCTTCAATAGTATATCATAGCTAATTCTATTCTGCAGAGCTTAAATGAGAATTTTAATGTTCTTCTCTCAAATATGTTCTTAAAATTCTGCCTATATTGAATTAAACAATTTTAAGTGATCTAAGAAATTCCTCTATTAAGTTGCAGGTAGGACTCAAGAAAAATACTTCTCTGATTTTACTGTGAATTCCTGCAGGAGAAAACGTGGGTAGGAGGTACTTATGAAAATCCTGAAATGCCTCTAAAATCAGTTGTGTGCTCTCAAAATTGTGTTAGCCTGGAAGAGTTACTGGAGAGGTAATAACTACTGAAATAGGACAAATCCCCTGTGATCTGGTGTGTAAATACACAGCAGAACTGGACATGAAAACAAATTGAGTTTTGGAGAGCACAGAGATAGAATATGAGCAGTTACAGAAAAAAAAGTGCAAAGTGATTCTTTTTCTTCTTGTATAGGGACAGTGACAGACTCAGCTTCACTGAAGTGATGTCTTTTAGTGAGATCTTGATCCGCCTCCTATTCTCCACAAAAGGGTTGGATTTTCTGATATAAAAATGCCAATTAAGGAAGAAAATTTAAAATATCAATTATTTATTGCATTTATTGGATATTTATCAATCAACTGAATATCTTTTGTAAATTTCTAAGTCAACTAGGACTGTAGCAACAGACTTGACAGTTACCATAGCATCAGCAATTATTTTTCTTTTTAAAGACTTGTTTTTAACAAGAATATGTTTGCTAACTCCTTAAAAAAAACCCCAAAAAAACCAAACCAAAAAGAGACTATTTAAAATGTGGTCATATTTTAGGGATCTGGCTTTTATTGTTACTCTATCCCACTATATACTACATCTATTAAAAAAGACATTAAATGATTTTGTGTTTATATTTATTGTCAGCAATACATCAGTTATGTAAAAATAACCCAGATGAAAATGTAAGACTTGTTACATTTTCACATCATCTGTATTAACTGAATAAAGCTTAGTGACAATATACACAAATTTGCAGTAGTAGTTGTACGTAAACATTTTGTGCATTAAAAAAGAAATGTACATAATTTAAAAAATAAAAATGCATTACACAATTTACAAATTAACATTAACAAAAAAAAAAGGTAAACATTCCTCAGACAGCTGCCTCCTTGTTCTACAAAATAAATATTCAAGTAAATTAAATTAGGCAAAATAAACTCTTAACTTTGGGTGAGCACAATTTACATAAAGGTAAAAAGACAGATTTCCATTTAATTCAAGGTATATTTTACAGTGATTTACACATAGAGTTTTTAAGTTGGCCTCTTCAGATTGTAATAGGGGAAAAAAAACTTTATTACATTTTGGCAGGAGGAAGGGGGTTTCAAAATTGATGCTTTATACCAAATATAAACAAGCTCGTGCAGTTGCATCAAAGCTTCAAAAAGGAACTGCTCCAGGACTCAAAGCAGACACAGTAATCTAGAAACTACAGTTTTAAAAAGGAAAATACAAACCACCACATCAACAGGAAAATGTCTACTTTGCTATTTTCTGAATGGTTTATTTGATCACTGGAAACATTACTTTCACAAACTAATAATCTACAGTAGTGGCTGCTTTAGGCACTGGATTTGTAGAAGCACTCTGATTTTTAAAGCAAATTGCTTTTCATTCTATACTGATAATTCACCTATTATTTATTTCTGTTTCAATGCTAGAGGGCTTAATCACCTTAGCAACTTTTAGCTTTACATAAAATTTCTGCCCTCCTTACAGCCTAATATTTTTTTCTTGATAATGAGGGAAGCCATTCTGGCTTCAAATCTCCATGCACTTTGTTCATACAAAAAAATAATAATAAAAATGCACTCTAGATTTTAAATGCAGCACTAGTATGATGCAGATGTGCACCAGATATTCACTGATCAGATATAAAATGTAACACATACTAAAATACTTGCATGGATTGCAAAGGCCAAATATACTAAAAAACCCTCCTATCTCTTTCTTTGTCCATTTTATATGGTAAGAAAAAGGAGATGTCATACCTTTAATTTCAAGTTATTAAATGCTTAGATTTAGGACATAAAACTCTTCAAGGCAAGAACTAGGCAACAGCTCCTGCTAAGACCAGCCTGTATAATAAATAAAGATGACTCATTGTCAATGAAAGAAACCCTGTTCCCTCCATGCCCTATTGGTCCAAAACAATTTGATGACACAGAATCAGACTTTTAAAAGTACAGAAAACATTATTAAACTTTATTTCTCCATATGTAGTTATCATTCTTTAAAACTTTATAACTTTTCCATGTTACTTTTTGTATGTCTGACAACAGAGGAATCAACTAGGTTTTTCTTGTTTTCTACTCAAGAACGCCAAGGTAATTAAAATCTTCAAGATTTGTATTTTTCCTATGGATCTTTACAAAGTGATGTAAGAGTGAACCACTGCTGTGGCAGGGGGCCATGGAACTTCATCCTCTGTGCCTGGATCAAGGTATAAAATGAGAAATTAAACCTGTAACAAAGATTGTTACTATTGTTCCTCTGCTCATCCTTCCCATTTGGGGAATACTTATACAGTGGGAGGAAGGTAATTTTCTTGATTCAGTAATGCCACACTGGTAATATGTTAGCTAAGTTAAAGTAGGACCATAATCTCTCTTGAACATCCACAAAATGCTCATTGGTTCCAGAAATTATTCTACATGAAAAAAAAGTTTGTATTTTTAAGGACTGATGTTACCTATTGACGTCCATGAGAATCTTGCCATTGATTTCAGTTGATCTGGGCCAAAGTTTGCAAAGCTACAGTTTTATTCAGTGTGCAAAACCCGGTGCTTCTTGAGCAAATAGCATGATAAGTAGGCAGAAGTGGTTTAGGTTATAAAAAAGACCTGAGAACCTAATATTGAACTTTATATAACAATTATTTTTGAGAGGTTGCCTGATAGAGTTTTCTATTGCTTACTAGTGGCACAGTCACTTGTATGTTCAGGCTACACATAGAAGCCATTTGAGGAGAATAACCCTTCTCAGGTCATCGATCAAATCCGTAACAGGCATGTAGATACAAGTCAATGACCTTCATGTTGGAAGTGGTAATACTGAAAAGCCATAAGCATGGAAGAAGTTAACAGTAAGTTTTCATACTGCCAGACTTTTTAAAAATTCATAAGTATTAAAATGGCAGAACTATTGATCTTATTGTTTACTTGCCAGTACACTCAAGAATTTAACTGACTAATTAAAAGAGTCTATCCAATTATCCTAATTAGAAAAGATGAAAGGGTTCTGAGTATTTCACTGTCAGCAACAGTGAAAAAGCTCTCACTAGCAAAAGGAAAGAAAAGTAAAACCATTTGATTTCAGTTGAACAATCAGAACAGCTTTTTAGACAAGAAGTATGTCACTCAGGATTACAGGGCAACCACTTTTCTTTTTCTTTTCTTCTTTTTCTAGCAAAGTTAACAAATATAAAAAATCTAGTCATAAACAGCCTTCAAAGTACAATTAGAAACCAGCAGGACAATCTATACCAGTATAGGTAGATGGGGCAAGAAACTAGACACTTGTATTACTGCCATGATGTAGACTACAAATGGCTGCTGTGATGAGGAACGGTGTGTACAGTACACGTCGTTAGCCAATTCCATCCACAGTCCAAACCGAACACTACTCTCTTCAGGATTCAAGACCTGTCTACTTGACACTCCTTGCACAAGATACATCATTATCCTTTCTGAAAAGAGGCAGTTTCTATGGCAATACTAGTTAAGTGCATATCATGCTGCACTAATATAGTGCAAAAATTTGCCTTACATGTAGCAAAAAAGATGCAGGCAACAGTTTGAGTTAGAGAAAGTAGAAACGTATTGTAACATTTACAACAGATATTCTTTTTCCAGACAGCAACCACTAGAAAATATTAAATCTGAGAATGCCTCCTTTCTGGATGTACACATGAGGCCTTTATACTTTGGAGTGGTAACAGGACAGAATTTTGCAAGTGAGTCATTGCCCTCTGAAATGCAGGTTAACACAAGTTATCATCGACTGGCAAACTCTTGAGCTTGCTCAGTGGGTTGATCCCAGTTAAAAGTTAATATTGTACTAAGCACTAAAATGCTCTTTAACAAGTATATAATCAGATAGAGTAATACATATGGTTCAACTGAGTATATATGTTATGCTTGAATATAAAGAGTCATAGACAGCTTGGTACAAACTCTTCATGCGTACTGAATATACTTGGTTAATGATGCAGAGGCTTCCAACTTTCAGTACTATGTCAGCTACAGTATTCTGGAGACAGAAGTGGTGCTTATAGTTTCTAAGATTGAGGAAACACCAGAGATCTCCAACTGCAGTGTCTATTAACGTGATTCTGTCAGATTTCTCAGTGCTGATGGTCTAAAGTAAAGCAATAATACCTTGAATATCCATAGGCATTATGAAATCCA